TTTACACCCTAGAGATAATAAAGTACCAACCAACTCTAATAGCCAAGGAATTTAAAAATAGAAAAGACTTAAATCCAGCTGAGGACTGATCACTAACCTTTGCACAGATACTGGCTGCACTCACAACTGGAAACAGGGAGTCAGCTTTTGGCCTCACAGTCACTTGAATACCCGGAAACCGCTGAGAGAGTTTATGCTCATACTTGTCCGCTGGGCCAACTGTGTCCACATAAATCTGCAGAACACAGAGATAGTAAAAGTTAAGACCGAGGCAAATAATACACAATGAAAAAGTCAGGTTGGATCACTCGGAGCTACAACTTAAAACAGTTAAACAAAAAGGATAATTACTACTTCAAATATAATAAAGCTGCGATAAGACAGCGATTTATTATATTTTGGTTTTTATTTGACGATACAGTAGATCAGACCTGGGATGTACGGTTCTAGACCACCTGTAGCGGAGGTCATTGGTGGACTGTTCTGCACTAATATGCCCACTAGCATGAGGGGGAAAAACAGAAGCATTGAGGAATGTGTCTATCTCAAGGCAAACAGTAACAAGACAGATAGAATTTGCAGGAAGTATGGAGTTTCCATTGAAAAACAAAGCAGACAACTCTGTTTTCTGATTGAACTTTGTCTCCTTGGCTCCATAATAGCTATAAAGTCTGCAACACATTTTTCGACGTTGGAAAACAAAAAGGTTTGAGGTCAGTGAAAGTTAGGAAACTGCAAGCTTGGATAGGCTGTAATGGAATAAATTGCAGGTGTAATGGCAGGTATTATAACAAAACAAAAAGTCTGACTTTTGAAGCAGATGCAAGATAAAGTGTCTGAATGGTGACAGAGGCTACCACACAGCTGCATGTGGCTCATTCATGGGCAAGAGTGTGGGACCTGAGAGCAGAAATATAAAATTGTTTTTTAAGAAGAAAGGCAAGCACATCCAGAGCTCTAAGGTCCATAAGGCATAATGCATCTCAGGTATTAAACCCAACTTGAATTTACTTGTTCAAGCCCAAAAAAGATTCTCTCATTGAAAAAGAAAAAAAGAACTTAAAAACTGCAGATAAAGTAATTAAAACTATAACCAAAACAGCAAAAGTGCTTTGTTTAAAATGAAAAGTCTTTGAAATTTTGCAAAAACATGTAACTTTTCTTCTTTAATTTTTGGAAATGTTGATTAAATAGTGATAAAATAATGGTGTTTTTACTAGCTCTATTTCACATTTTCATTGCTTAATTGTAGCATCTTCTCTTACCAGAAACTGTTTATACAGACATCAAGAGAGTTTAAAGAGATTAATACTGAGCACAGTTAAACCCACCTTATTAGTGTGGCTCTCCACAATGCCCCTGCCCTTTAACTGCCCACCCACACAAAAGTGCCCCCTTAGGCTCAAAGGACAGTTTCAAAGCAGATTTAGCTTTTAGGAACATAGAGGAAATATGACCTATACAGGACATTGCGGACCCTATATTAAAAGAATAATGTGCACATATTTAAACATTTCATGTAAACTGTTTACCTACCTCTTTAAGCTGTACTCCACTGTCCAAAGCATACTGTACAAGGTCTATTGCTGTATCGTGTGAAAGGGCGTTGAGGTTGTATTTTGTCCTTGAAGGAAAAATACACATTATGTTAGTCTGCATGAATGATGGTAACAAACCTCCAAGTGCATGGCGCTGTATGCGCAAATTACCTCCGTAACATGCAGGTAGAGATGGTGTTTGGCGACAGAATCTGCAGAGCCCACCCAACATAACTCTTAGCTTCATCCAGTTTTTCAAAAAGATTCTCTCTTTCTGCCTCTGTCAGGGTTTTTGAATCTAAAAGAAAAGCAAATAATCACTGAAGACACAATGACAAATTGTATCTTCAGATGTGGAAAGGAAAACACTGGGGGGCTTTTCATGCTCATTTATTTTCTGGTGACATTTTTAGTTACTGAAACAAAGTAAATAATGATTAGCAAGCTTCATACTTTTTAGGGCTGGGCGATATGGCCTAAAATCCATATTGCGGTATAATTTGAAGCACGTGCGGTAACGATATATATCACGATATATTCTTTTCTTCTGTATAACGCATTTTCCACATTATAAGGCACACTTAAAATCCTTTAATTTTCTCAAAAGTCAAGAGTGTGCCTTATGTATAAATTCTGGTTGTGCTTACTGACCTCGAACCGACTTTGGCGTGCAGAAATCTGTTAAAAATGTTTTAGTACAACTTTGGTAAGCCGCACAGCTTGATGGATTGTCAGAGCATTACGGCTGCCGTAGTGAGGAGCTTTGCGGAGTAATCTGGGTCCAAAACTCCGTCCACTTCAGGTCCCAAAGTCAAACGAACGCTAGGAGTTAAAAACGGTCTAAATTCTTTCATCTTTAATTAAATCATCAG